CCCCCCCCCCCCGTCTGAGAAAGCGCAGCAAAATTTCCCCCCGCGCAGCAAGGCTTTAGCCTATTAATAGAGTCAAGACAACAAGGGTTAGATGGACTGAATCCCGTCTCTCTACAGGTAGGTCCAGTCGGGACTCAACCAAAACTGACTGCTCTCTGTTTCCACAAGCGCTCCTTTCGGAGTATGTCAGAAAGGTTCACCAAAGCGCCAAGGGTGTGTCCGAGACGACCGCAGAAGAAGTTTCTTGCTGCTGGTGTCATCGTGGTGTCACCGCTTGAGGATGGCCATCGTCGCCCAACCTAGTATCATGCAGATACCCCCGGCGGGTGCCACCTTACTGGCCTTCTTGTCCTCTTTCAAGCCTGCCCACAAAACAAAGAGAGGCATACACAGCAGCAGATCGATCGATGAGAGATGAGCGGGGGGGGAGGGGGGTCGTCGAACCACAAACGAAACGCCTCCGGTGGTGGTGCTGCTGGTTCTGCTCCTCTAGGATACGAGACAGATAGAAAGGCCTTTTTCCCCAATTTGTTTTCCCAATTCTTTTGCTCCTTCTTAAGGTAGGTATAGTCTTATTTTTTGGCCAATTACGCTCGAAAATGTGCCGTGATCTGCCTTTCATGCTGGTAGTTTGGCCACTTGTGCTACATACAGTTCCGGCGATTCATGCTCCGAAAATTCCCAAACTTCACGATTTGAGTTCAGGCTAGAGAACAATGGGCAAAGGCCGAAGGGGTACCTTCTTTTTCCTCTTGCCTAGGGGTGAAAACACCCTCGCAACTGGCGGCTAACTTGATCGTTTCACGAGATGTGAGAAATGCTGAGAAGTATTGACCCCGGCTGATACGTCAAACGTAAACCGAATAAAAGTTCGCGCGGGTCGGCGCCAGAATACGGGATGGGACGAAAAAAATATCAAAACATCAGACGGACACGGGAACCAAAGGCTACGGATGTGTTCAATCGTAGATAGAGCGCCATGGGGAGAGGCGGCGTTTCGTGGTGTTCTCACATGGCCTCGCCACGACGTCCGGACAAGGACACAATCGCACGCCAACGTCCACAGAACAGAGGCACAACGCCTCAGGTTTGCATGATTGAAGATACCACCACCTCCCAACCGGACCGATTTTCACAGCCCGACTGCCTCACGATGAAGAGGATGTCTTCAGACCTTCAGGATATTGTCATGGAAGGGCTGGCAGCGTTGCACCCGGGCAGGCAGGCAAGATCTTAAACTGACTCCAGCGAAGACTAGGAAGCGACCTCAGCAGTCAGCAGAAAGTCTCCCACAAGATCAGGCCTCTCAATCAGATGGAGAGAGGTGGTCACCACAAATCAAACTACTATTATACACGTTATCGAAATGCGCTCTCGATGAGACGGTTTCACCGCCGCCGTTATCGGCACCGCCATTGGTTTCGCTCCAGAGTTTGGTCCAGGGGGCGTGATATCTTACGCAAGAGGAGACAAACTCACAGGCATAGTAGATGGAGCCCGAGAAGAGGGTGATGCCCGTGGTGAAGAACAGCCCAGCGGCGGTCCTGGCGGGAGTCTTCTGGTAGATGGGCAGGGTGGCAAGCGCCAAGGCGTGGAACATCTGGTACTGGGTTGCGGTCTTCCAGTCAGCCTTTATCTTGTCCGATTTGCCCGCGAGACCGTGGGCTCCGTAGGCACCTGAAAAAGAGAAATAAGAGAGAACTTTTGTGAGTGATAGCACTGCTCGGGCGGACCGAGCTCGATCTCAAGCCCATGACATCTTCCCAGACAGATAACGGCTCGGTGAAAGAGGGAGGTTGGCAAGGGCACGTGTACTTTTATTTGGGTGGGGTATCATGGGAGTCGCCAACAAGCCGAAAGGAGAAGGTGAATGCCCCAGTAAAGCATGTGTGTTCACGCAAGCAACAACAAACTGCTGCTGCTGCGAGACCCGGATTTCAAACGACAAGGGCTCGTGTGTGTCAGGTACAGGCACATGTACCACCGCAATCCCAACACAAAAAAAAAACTCGACTGTGATGAGCAGTTAATCCTCACTTGAGGGACTCTGTACGAAGAACCTGCCGGGGTAATAAGCAGGGCAAAACCATGCCGAAGCCGACTAGCGACCCGGCGAGTGCGAACGAGAGAAGGTTCAACACTCGCTGTCATCAGGCTGATGTGACGAATCGGCCGAAGCTGGCAAGCGGCCGATTCCGAATGGCTCCCCGGACTCTTGGCGTGAACCCAGCAGATCCGTGGCCAAACCCGGTTAGTCATAGCAGCCAGTGGTCCTCGTCCAACTCACCCTCTTCGGCGCTCTCGTCTTCGTTTTTGTTGGCACCAGGTTGGGCTGACCAGTTATCGTCGTGTTCGTCGTCTCACGGGGACGGAGGAACGAAACCGTTTGTAATGCTGGTTGGGATCAGCCGGCACCTCTGCCGCTCCCGCCTTTTGGCGGTGGTGATCTACTCAGAACAGCAGTAGGAGGTTGTTTTACAGCCTGCTGTTTGGCTTTCTGCTTTTCTCTTCTTGTGATCTTTTGCTGAGCGTCTGGGTTTCCGCCCATGACTCATGTAGCCTGTTCAAGGGGGAGTGTTTTGCCCCTTCATATTCGCGCCCGCCGGGTTGCTGTTTAGTCAACGTCGGCATGGTGCTCTGCTGCTTGCTACCCTGGTACACTCTTCGTCGAACACCAATGACTATCATAGCCAGTTTCGTCATGGTGCTCTGATGCTTGTTCCCCTGGTATCATAGGCTTTTTGTCGAACGCCACGAGAATGATTCACAACGGCCCTGCATTCTAGAATGCGTTCGACGCAGAACCTACCAGCAAACAAGCAGCGGGAACCATGATTCTCGTCGGTGTTCGTTGAAAGAGTCTTACGTAACAAGCAGGAGAGCACCCCACCGAGCAGGCTGGCGACCCGGCGGGCGCGAATTTGACAGGGCAAAAGACTCCCCCCGAACAGGCTGAGACATGGGCCGAAACCGAGAAGGGTTGAGGTTTCATCGAGGGTGATGTAAAGAGCTTGGCCGATGGCATCTAGGCACGACTCGAGGTTAGGCATGGACCAGGTTTTACGGACGATGTTGCGGTTGCGGGTGTGGCGGTAGTCTACGCAGAAACGGGGACTACTGTTACTCTAAGCGACGAGAATGCATGGGCCTCCTCATGCGCTGGGCCGTTTTTCAATGATTCACCACTCGAGCGTTTCGGCGACACATTCGACTGAGACGGTTGCGACAGGACGTGTGCTGGGTGGCACCGGGAATGTGTCTTCTGCAATGGTGCAGCGGCCTAGTTCGGACAATGACAGAGAAAAGAAAGGACGGCATCTTGCGCACAAGTCGAGGACAGCTTGTTATTGCTCGGATGTGAGCGTGGTAAGTGTCGAAGGTTTTGGACAGAGCCTCTTCGACTTCGGACTTGGCGTGGCGAAGTTCGCCGTCGGTGACGGGTGTGTTCGCGACAGAATTGACGTGAAGTTGGTCAGTAAGAGCTACTGTGGAAAATTGACCTAGACATGAACCATCATAAGAGACGGACGGCATCTGAGGAAGGATTGGCGATGTGGACAACGACAGGTCCATCAAAAGAGTGCCACGTAGCTAGAGTACGGGCAACGACAATGTTTGTGAAGGGACTGAGTGTTTCGTGGTGGGACAAGTCTTGTTCGGAAACGATCCGAGGTTCGACAACGACTGTTCAATCTTCCGGTGTACGACAATCAGTGTAGGCGGCAGCAACCGCCTCGCGCATCGGTGAGATATCGACGCGCTCACGCAGGGATACGGCGACTTGTGTGGAATCGCTATGGACAGCAGCCACGGACGGTTTCGGGTCGTGGCGATGATTCCCACGTGAAGTACTGGACGAGCTGGTGCGATGGGCAGCTGGTATTTGCAAACCAGAGGACGACAAAGACAGAGCTTGTTGTTCCCAATCAAGGATCTCACCAAAATCCGACAGACGCTGTTGTCTGACAGTATGGATCGGGTCCTAGGGAGGGGACGACAAGGGCGGTGACGGTACGGGTGATACCGCAAAGGGTTGACGGAAAATAAATGAAGCCCTTGACCTCTACCGGCGAGCCGTTGGCTGCTCGAAGGGGTACGGCAGCCGGAGGGACAGGTTTGAGTGGCGCATTTCGCAAGGTTGGATGGGATTGCAACCAAGGAAGCGACACGACAAAGACACAGCAGTAGCTGTGTCCACTGTGACGTTCCTCACGGGACAGTCTTCGACGGAACCGTCAATTCGGACGCGTCGCGAAGACGAGACAGGCAAGAAATTTTGGGTTTGTGCGCCAGCCTTGAGCTGTACCACACATTGTCTGAATTCTTTTTTTCATCCGCGGGGAACGCGTTCCCTTCCTTCGCACTTGAACGTAAACACGAACGGCGAGGCCGCGATTGTCTACGGCAATAGACATCATCGGGTACGAAGGCGGACACAGACTCAAGTTCACCAAAAGTGACACCTTTCCGCGGGCCAAAATCGCCACCAAGGCTACAGACAGAAACCAACGGAGCTGAAGAGGACACAGCGCTGCTACTATCACACGAAAGACGTTTACGTCACGATGGCAGAGGCTCTACCTCCTCGGCATCAAGCACCGGGGAGGGGACACGCAATTCAGACAAAGCAGTGAGACCCAAAAGCTTTCTCTCGTTACCATGAGGACGAGCACGTACTCTAAGCACCACGCAACTACCGTTGCGGACATGAACACGGAGCACAACAAAAACGGGAGTACCGACAGCTACTAGCGTGGAGAGGTTCCTCTTCGCGCCTTTCCTACCAAGTGCAGGAGACATCCCAACTACCGCAGGCCCTACGTCAACTGGGCAACCCTACTCATCGCTATCGTCGGTAGGGTCATTGCGAGGAGTGCAGTCCTCCGCACACGAGCGCTTCGCCACAGGGCGACTATTCTCGCGGCGGTTGCGACCCGCCTTCGCTTCCTCGCGGTTCTTGTGGAAGCCACGTGGAGTGCGAGCAGCGAGGGCGCTCCCTCTGGGTGGAGCGGCGGGAGTTGCCACCACCACAGTTGTTGCCGTTGCGGAGCGTGCTTCTGCCTGTGGCAGACGTACCACCACCCGACGAGGGCGCTGGCCTGAATGACGGGGTGCGGCCCCGGTTCTGCCGCGCGGTATCAAAACTTTTGAGACAGACGGGCGCGGGACGGGACAGGGGTGAGCGAAACAGCGCTGACAGCGGGGGTTTCACCAGACAGATTCGCTGACTCGGTACGGAGAGCGCGATCGATAGCCTCCCGAAGGGCATTGACGTTTTTTTTGTCCAGTACCTTGGACCGAGCGTTCGAGAAAAGGCCGTTTCGGAACAGAAATACCACGAGCGCTTGATACGGCGAGAGTTCCGGGGTAGCCCGTGCGACAGCTTTGTTCAAACCGAGCGCAATCAGTTTGGAGACGGAGGGCATACGAGCTAACGTTCTCGTTGCTCTCTTGACGGAGACTGATAAGACGACGTGCACTCTACTCGGCGATGTTGGAGGGCGACGATCTAGGGGAGCGGTTTTGAGCTCTACCCAAGTGGTCAGCGGGGGGTAAGAGTTTGCTTGTTCGACAGTCTCGTGAGAGACGGCAGCGGAGGAACAATCAATCTTACCCGGCATCATCTCTTGGAAAAATCTGCAACACGGGACCGTCGCAGATGAGGGAGAAAGATTCAAACGCGACCGCATCACCCGCGTTTTTCGAGTTCGGCGATAGATATGTTGGTGGGGTAAGCGCCTTTCACCTTGAAGCCAGCAATCAAGCGGTACTGGGACAGGACGGAAGTGACATCAACCTCGCTCTTGCCGGTGAAGCGGGGAATTCGCTTAACACCAGGGGGCGTCAACACGACATGCTTTTGGCGAGATAACGCATCGGCAAATGACCGAGTCAAATCCGGGACAGACGGGGTGTGCGACAAAGCACCGACAGACAAGACAGGCTGGGACACACGCTCAGCAGCCTTATTGGCCTCCTGCAGGCTCGCCAAGCCGTCCACTAGCGTCATCACATGAGGAGGGAGCTCAATGATGCGTCCCTCGCCAAACAGATCCAGGTGCATGTCGACCACCCTCTGCATCTGCGAGATGGTGCTTGACATATCGGTTGCTGTGGACGGCGCGATGGACGGGGTGCAAAGGGATGGCGCGGCGGCTGGAGTCACGGACGGGGTTGGGGCCGGAGTCGTGGACGGGGTGGGGGACGTGGGNGTCACGGGATTCAGCGACGGCGGCGTAGAAAGTTCGTCCGCGGTAGCATTCAGGTTGAGATTCGCGAGCGCTGTCGCTAGATAGCGAGCAGGTCTACACCTGTATCCTATCTCGAACGATGGCTTCCGAGCAGCTCACCGAGCAGCAACTCCTCGAACAGCAACGAAACCTCGCGAATCTAAACCACAACGGGGAACTGAACGCTGCCTTGGACGGACTTCTACCCCCGCCGTCGCTGAATCCCGTGACCCTCCGTCCGGCGGCCACGTTGAGGACAAAGGGTTTGACCCTCCTAACGTCGCCCGTCTAGCGGCCACCCCTTCCCATCCGGCCCCCACACCCCCGTCCCCAACCCCGTCCGCGACTCCGGCCCCAGCCGGTCATGAATCCTGCCGCTGACGCCAGATATGGGTGATCTATCTCAGACCGACGGTGGTGGGATCTCGAGTGTACAGACTTGCGGGACAGCAGTAGTTCTCTAGGAAGAGCCAACAGTGGTCTCTACCAGAGAAGGAAAGAAGAAGAGTGACAGAGGAGGGGTGAAGAGGGGTATGCACAGCACACCGCTCCTCAGCCCTAATGACGCAGGAACAACCTGACGAGGCGGTGACGCAGACACATTCTGTGCTGGCGTGCAGACGCGGCACAGCACAGACATGTTGCCGGGGACTTTCCCCGGGCGTGAGAGGACAAACAACTCGCCGGGCGGTTGCAGAACGTGCGGTAGGCGAGCATGTCCATGTCCATACAGTGGCACACGGACGCCCGCGGACCGCACGGAAAGATCCGCAGAACAAGCGGAGGAACAGTTGGACAAAGGGCCTCGTAGGACGTATCTAGCAGCGTCACCAGAGACTCACATCCTTCATTTGAAGTATTGTTGAATCGAGCTTATCGAGTAAAGCGTGGTGACGGGTACAGTTGCAGCCCGCCGTTAAGAAAATTTTATGTAAGAAAAATACCCTCAACTTTTGAGGAAAAATGAGAAAAAGTGACTAAGAAACACACCTCAAAACGGACGCAAAGATAAGAAACATCCGAATAAGAAAACACCCACCCACACAGGCATGAGAAATACTTCTAGGAAACTAGGGGACCGGAGCTCATGGCGTGGCAACTAGCTTCAGTGTCTTGGTGCGTTTTTTCCGAACAATGCACTGTTTCGATTGTTGCACAGGGGGGGGCGGCGCACCTCGGCACCTTGGCAGCACCAGTTGGACTAGACCCCAGGAAGCGGTTTTTGCATTTTATTTCTGTGTTTCGCACTCACCGGTTGGGAGACGTCGATCGACGGAGGATATGGTTGTCGAAAGAATGGGTAACATAAGAAACGGCAACTACAGCAGTAACTGAGTGACGTATAAGCCGGGCGATTGAGCAAAACAGTAAGAAATCGTCATTTTAAGAAAATTCATGAGTACTCGGTATTCGACCAACAGCCAGAAATATAATAAACTCAATTTTATGAAAAAGAGTACTCATGCTTTTTTTTTTTTTTTGCTCGACAAATAAGACTTGGCGCCTCGACCCGAAATTGACGTTTCTTATTCGCGGGCCCCAACTGTAAGCGTCCTTTCGTCACGCCAGCCATCGACATTCATCACGTGATGATAAACCGTGGCTGAGGTTGACCGCGGGCCAACGTCTTTCGTCACTCCAGTACTCAGAGCAATCATCATCATGTGCCAGAGAGAGTTTGATCACTCGCGCAAATGGTAATGTATAGTCATGTGCCAGAGTCGTAGATCGTAGATCACATGCCGTGTCGTTGTAGATCATGTCATTTTTGTCACCGAGAGAGTGCAATATGACAACATTTATATTTTCTCGAGGACGAGAGACGCTGCGCACGTAAGTAACTTATCGGTGAGGTGAATATATAGCCTTACAGGCCTTCAATGCCGCATTCGGCTTCGTGGGGAGCGGGCAGTTGTGTCGATGCATAGCCATGGTGGTCGTGAGGCGTGAGTAAAAAAACGGGCAGGCGACCCGCACGTGTTGCTGTGAAATGAGATTTGTTCGTTTGCACTTGGGGGGGTATTTTCCGTGCATTCCTCACCGAGACCAACGGCGGATGAACCCGCCAGCGCCGCGATTTGATGCAGCATCGTGGAGTTGAAGAGACACGGATGTTGGCGGCTTCCAGCGAGCGGACGGGTTGCTGCTGCTCCGCTGCCTGCAATCTGTCTTCAGTTGTGCGGAAAGATCGTACGGTGCCCCGCCCCCATACCGCTCGAATATTGTGATTGGGGAGGGGGGGGGGGGGGGGG